CCGGCCGGCCCCTCGCTGCTGGGACCGACTCCCCCCTTGCCACTGCCCCATTGCCCCCGGCCGGCCCCTCGCTGCTGGGACCGACTCCCCCCTCGCCATGTTCCATTGCCCCCGGCCAGCCCCTCGCTCCTGGGACCGACCCCCCCTACATCATGCTCTGCTGCCCCCACGGGGGCCCCACAAATATGTTTGGTGCCAGGCCCACAAAAGGTTGATCCGGCCCTGCCCCAGCCCTGCCCGGGCTGCAGCCCCCCCAAGTGTGGAACCGGCTGAAACGCTGGGGCTGCAGCGACACCTTCTGGCTGCTGTGAGACCAACAGAAAACAGCGCCCAGGGCAACCCCTTTGCTTCCACCCCAAACGCCGCCTCTGAGACTCCTGGCGAGGAGTGGGGGTGATGGGTTAGAGGGGGCGGGGCTGGGAGCCAGGACTCCTGGGTTCTGTCCTGGCTCTGGGAGGGGAGTGGGGTCTAGTGGTTAGAGGGGGTGGGGCTGGGAGCCAGGACTCCTGGGTTCTCTCCCCGGCTCTTCCATTCTTGTGCTGTATGACACTGGCCATGTCGCTGCCCCTCTCTCTGCCTCAGTTTCCCTACCTGTGCCACAGCATCCCCACCCTTGGCTCCCCTGTTAGGCTCCCCGATTGCCCTGGGGAGGGGGTGCCGCCCCTCCTGGCCCCAAGGGCTGATGGGAACCACGTCTTCCTGTGCTGTTTGTTCTACTCCCCTTCCCCCAGCCCCCTGGGTTGGGAAATCCTCCCCCCTCCACCGCAGCTGTTCCCTGGACTTCTGATAAGGCCCCTGTTCCCCTCCAGCCTCTAATCATTAACCCTCAGGGCCATGGGCAACCTAGAGCGCAGGACATCGCCTGCCCCCTCCCTGCCCCGCCCGATCAGCCCCACGGGCCCATTTACCCCGGTATCCCACGCCCTCCCTACCCCCTAGACCAGAGCCACGGTGTTACCAGATTTGCCAGGTACTTTGGGGTTTGCTCATTTATTAGAGTTACTCTTCGGGGGCTGGGGGAGAGGGAGGTCGAGCACTTCTATCACCCCCAGATGTCCCAGGTTCAGCACGTCCCTGTCCCCACTTTCCCGTCACAGTTGTTCTGGCAGGAACCCACGTGATGAGCAAACCCCACAGGATTTTGGGGCGCTGCCGGGATACTTAGCTTAGGTACGAGGAGCGTCGCTGCAGGGCGAGTGGGGAAGCCAAACAACACCCACGGGGTGGGGAGGGGGGGCAGAGCGAGAAGCAACCAGTTATTTATTGCCAGGTAATAACCATAGGGGAGCCAAACAAACAAAACCGTTATAATATTAAATCAAACTTAAATTTGATTATAAAAGGTTTAAAAAATTATAACTGATCACACAAGTCAGGGTCAGAAGGCTACACCTAGAGAGAGAGAGAGAGATGGGTTCTCACCACTCCGTGAAGCTTGAATCGATCGGGGGTCCCAGGTGGTGGTGGTAGCTGAGGGTCCGGAGTGCTGGAGACAGACAGAGCCCCCAACACGATCAGTCAGGAGAAGATGTCGTCCCAATGGAACTGATGCAGAGTTTGGATCCAGGTATCAGAACACTGACTTGAGCGTGGGAAGGGGTTTTTGTAGGGCAAGAACAATGGTTCGAGGGAGACACTAGGTGTGTTTGTGAGTAAATTGATGGCTCAAGGGAGAAGACCAAAGTTGTTTTGTTCAGGCTACACAACAGGAGCTGATCATTCCTGGCCATGGACGGGGTTCCTTGGAGGGAGCTCACAGTGCAATTAGGGAGCTTCAGTATTTTGGATACCAATAAAGGATTCGTTACTAGAATTGGTCTGATAACTGCTGAGCTGGGGGTGGGCAGGGATGGGCTCATTAACATCTGGAGCAGAGATCCCCCATCATGCCGTGCTTCCCTGCTTCGCTGGCCCCAGAGTTCCCTGCGGTTCTTGCCTTGGAATCTCTGGTCTCCAGTCTGTAGCTGATGGAGATGCCTCCTTGTCCCATCTCCCATGCAGATGAGGCCAGGGGAGTTTCCTTAATCCTGTCTCCCTTGTCCCAGGGGTTTCGGTGGGTCTCCCACAGCCTTTCCATTGGTGTTTGTAAGTCTGTCTCTGATCGGCTTTGGTGCAAGCAGAGGCTGGGGGTGGGGGTGGGGAGGTCGAGGTCTTTCGTGAGTCAGACAGGCTGGATACTGCGCCCTGGTTCCCCAAGAACACAGAGCTGACAGGTATCCTGCCCCCCGGATCAGAGCCATGGGCCCATCTACCCCAGTATCCTGCCCCCTCCATGGCCCCTGGACCAGAGCCACGGGCCCATCTACCCTGGTATCCCACCCGCTCCCTGCCCCCCGGACCAGAGGCATGGGCCCATCTACCTCGGTCTCAGATAGTGGTCAGCTGTAGCTGTATCAAAGTGAAAGGAGGAAGATCCCAAATGCCCCACATGGGCAATGGAGGCATAACTCCCCATAAGGAAAGACTCCTCCAGCCCCCTACTCCCCCGCACTTAATGCGTCTGGGGGAAGAGGGAACCCCCACACCCCTTCCTGACCTCACGCTGGGCCCAGGAGGTTCCGCTGCCCCTGAGCCCATGGTGCTCATGTGGCGGTCAGTTCCGCAGGCTAAAGACATGTCCCGGGTTTAACAGCAGGGGTCGCCGCTCCTGGGGTTGGGGGAGGCAAGCGGCTGTGGTCTGGGGTGTGACAGGGATGGACACACTGATCCCCTCCATCCTTGTCCCCCCCCTCCCCAGAGTCCTTCACCTCCGTGCCCCTGCTCTGTTTGTGCGTGAATAGTATCAGGTCTTTGGCCTTTTGTTCCCTGGCTGCCTGCATTGGACGCTGCCCAGGCCCTATTCCAGGAAGCCGCCTGCCTGGGAGAAGGGGACATGTGAGCCCCCACAACACCACCACCCAGCCCTGGAGAATTCCCCCCCCCATGTGGGATTGCTGGGAGAGGGATTTTGGGATGTGGTGGCAGAAGCACTGGGGAGGAGGGAAAAGGGGGACCCCTTGGAGCAGGGAGCTTCCCAGCTGAACCCTGAAATTATCTGTCAAGGGAACGTTCCCCTGGCTGAACCCCAAAATGAGCTTACAAGGGGTAATTCCCTGCGTTCAACCCGGATATTTTCCCATAGCAGGGAGATTTCGCCTGGTGAACCCTGTTATGAGCCCAGAGGGGTCCTCCTGAGTGAACCCCAATATTATCCCACAGGGCAGGGGTCCCCTGGTGAACCCCCCAATATTATCCCATAGCAGGGAGATCCTGGGTGAACCAATATTATCCTGGGGGGACCCTGAGAATGAAAACTATTACCCTTGGGGGGGGGGAGATTCCCTGGGTGAACCCTGATAACAGAGGGGTACCCCCAGGTACCCTGATATATCCCATAGTGGAGAGTTCCCAAGGTGACCTGTGCTATTATCCTGTAGCAGGGAGTTCCCCAGGTGACCCCTCATATTATCCTATATGTGGAATTCCCCCAGAGTGAACCCTGGTATGCTGTAGCAGGGATTCCCTGGGTGACTCTGATATTATCCCATAGCAGGGAGTTCTTCTGGCGAACCCCAAGATCATTCCTTAGTGGGGCATTTCCCTCCCCACCCCATTCCAGGCCCCGGAGGATTCTGGGAGAGATTTCAGCGTCTTGCTTTGTTTTATTTCTCTACTAAAAATGGCAAACTCACAGCCAATAAATACAAGTGAACAAACAGCCCCCGGCCCGCCCCCTTCCCCCTCCAAAGAACAGAGACCTCCCCGGCGCGGCCCCCCACCTCCTGCCACAGAGATGGGCTCGGAGTCCACTCCAGGTGTGAAAATCCAGGCCGGGATTTCACTGAGGCCACATGGAGGAGAAAACCTGGCACTGGATTATCCTGGCTGCTGAATGGACACGACTAGATTCCCCAGCCCCCGCTCCCCAACGTGGACTGGTCCTCTGGGACATGTGGGGGAGGGGAGGGAAAACCCGGCACTGGATTCCACTGCCAGCTGGAATGGAGTTGCCCGGATTTTCTATCCTCCCCCCAGGAATGGCATGCCAGCCCCTCCCCCCCCCAGTTCTCTATTGGGGTCGGAGATGGGCTCTAAAGCCAGGACTGGATCCCCGTGCCAGCTGGAATGCACTGAATGGGGACAAGGAAGCCCCCTACCACTGCCCCTACCCCCCACAGCTCTTTCACGCCCAGCATAATGGGGCCCTGGTACCAACGGGACCTTTGCACGATGGGCCCTCTCATGACGGGAACTTTGCATGACGGAACCTCGCATGATGGGACCATCTCACGCTGGGTCCTTGGCCCTGCAGCCCGTGCACGATGGGGCTCTCGCACGATGGGTCCTTTGCACAACAGGGCCTTTGCACGATGAGACCTCACACGCTGGGGCCCTGGCATTGCAGTCTGTGCATGATGGGGCCTTTGCATGATGGGAGCTTCTTTGCACAATGGGGTCTTCGCCCGACGGGCTCCTCACACAACTGCACCTTTGCACAAGCAGTCTTTGCACTCTGGGGTCCTCGCATGAGGAACTTTCACACGATTGGTCCTCCCAGGAAGGGACCATTGTCAACGGGTCCCTTGCTGGCCGCTGGCTCCTCCCCGCCGCGTGGGCGGTCCATCTGGTCAGGCTGTGTGTGGGTGTCGGGGGGCCGCGGGGGGCTCAGCAGGGGCGGATCTCGGACACCACCCGCTTGGGGAAGAACTGGTACTGCAGCCACGTGGGCTCTGAAACGAGACAGGGGCGGGTGAGGAGGGGAGTGCGGTAAAAATACCCCCAGAACCCCTACGGCTCCCCTCTGAATCCCACCCCTCTTCATCTCCCCCCACCCAGGACTCCCCTCTTCCCCCCCAGGATCCACCTCCCCCACCCCCTGCCCGTGGACATACCCCTCCCCCCACAGCTCTCCACCCCACCCCTCTCCTGCTGCCTCCCTACAGCTCCCTGTCCCCACAGTAAATCTCGCACTCCCACGGCTCCCTCCCTGCCCCCACTTCCCTAAGGCCCCACCCACGGCTATCTCCCTGTCCCCCACTTCCCCATAGCTCCCCCCACGGCTATCTCCTTGCCCCCACTTCCCCATAGCCCCCCCAGGGCTCCCTCCCTGTCCCCCACTTCCCCATAGCTCCCCCCACGGCTATCTCCTTGCCCCCACTTCCCCATAGCCCCACCCAGGGCTCCCTACATGCCCCCACTTTCCCATAGCTCCAACCACAGCTCCCTCCCTGCCACCCACTTCCCCATAGCTCCCCCCACAGCTATCTCCCTGCCCCCCACTTCCCCATAGCTCCCCCACAGCTCCCTCCCTGCCCCCCACTTCCCCATAACTCCCCCCACGGCTCCCTCCCTGCCCCCACTTCCCCATAGCCCCCCCACAGCTCCCTCCCTGCCCCCACTGCCCCATAGCTCGCCCCACGGCTCCCTCCCTGCCCCCCCCCAGCCTCCTGCCCCTCACCGTCGTAGCAGGCCGGCAGGGGCAGCAGGCCATCGAAGCAGCGCGCGGGGGCCTGGTAGCTGCAGCTCTGGGTCTGGGTCTGCGTCTGGTTCTGGCTCCGGCAGTAGAAGGTGACGATCTCCCCGTGCTGGACCTGCCCTTGTGGGATCTCGTGGATCCAGAGCTTGTGGCCCTGGTAGAGCACACGGCTCCGCTGGGCCGGCACCAGGCAGCGCGCTGCGGGGAGACGGGAGACCGGGGTAGATGGGCCCATGAGGCTGATCCGGGGGACAGGGAGGAGACGGGAGACGGGGTAGATGGCTAGTGGGGCTGATCACAGGGGGTGGCAGGATACTGGGGTAGATGGGCCCATGGCTCTGGTCCAGGGGACAGGGAGGAGGCGGGATACCGGGGTAGATGGACTGAGGGAATGATCCAGGGGGGATGGGAGGAGGCGGGATACTGGGGTAGATGGGCCCGGGGGCTGATCCAGGGGGGATGGGA